CATGCAGACACGAGGTTCACACTTAATGGTCTTCAGCAAATTCAGCTTAAAATACCATGTAAAGGTACCCCTGCCCGTACGGGCCAGTCGTGTCCGACTCTAGGGTTGTGCGCCCATCTCACTTAAGAGGCTGGGGGCCAGCGCTGTCCGGAGACACTTCCGGGTCACGTGGCCAGCATGACGAAGCTGCTCTGGCGAGCCAGCGCAGCACACGGAAACGCTGTTTACCTTCCCGCTAGTAAGCGGTCCCTATTTATTTACTTGCACTTAGGGGTGCTTTCAAACTGCTAGGTGGGCAGGAGCTGGGACCGAAAGACAGGAGCTCACCCCGCCGCGGGGATTCGAACCGCCGACCGTGCAATCGGCAAGTCCTAGGCACTGAGGTTTTACCCACAGCGCCACCCGCGTCCCTAAAATACCATGTAGGAGGTGTTTAAGGATAAAATGGGATAGCCCATGTATCCAATCTTGAGCTCTTTGCAGCAATGGTAGGGTCAACTGTGATTCATTTTTAAAAGGCAGGGGTTCAAAGGCATGCACACCAAGTCCTTCTGTGTGCACACTAGGGATGACTGTTCTTTCTTTCTGGCAGCAGTGTACCCCATTTAGGCATTGAAAAGGAGGAGTTAAAAAGCCCCTGTGTATGTCTAGAACAGCATATGCAACACTCTGGATTCCAGATTACATATTGCAAAGCTTCTTGTTTATTCCCAAGCACTAATAGAAACTGATATGTAATGAAAAGAAGCAACAAGTTGGGTACAACCACATAGTGACTTTCTTATAGCTTCAAACACATAAAAAACTTGGAAAATCGTTTTTGTGTTATGAACATTATAGTTCAGATTCTCCTCCCCCATTACCATGCTGAAGATTGACACACATTGACACTGTTTGTGATCAGTGCTGATAACTGAGCTGTACAGACGTTTATATGTGGTTTATAGCTCAGTCCAAGAACATAGAAAGAGATTCACGGTATTAAGGCTAAAGTAAAAGTGGAACTACATTCAAAGTGATAGGAATAATTCCCCCAGTTTTTTCATTTTGTAATGTCCAGTAAACCAATCATTTCCCCTATATCTGTCTAGAGTTATAATTCACAACTTGCAAAGTGTTCAAATATCACTTGATTAACACACTTGAAAAAAATGCTTCATTATGATAATGCATTCAGCACATTAGTGGCAGAAGTCTGGCCTGTAACAGGATTTGTATTGGAAATCACGCTTGCAAAACTTAGAAGAAGAAGAAGAGTTTGGATTTGATATCCCGCCTTTCACTCCTTTTAAGGAGTCTCAAAGCGGCTAACATTCTCCTTTCCCTTCCTCCCCCACAACAAACACTCTGTGAGGTGAGTGGGGCTGAGAGACTTCAGAGAAGTGTGACTAGCCCAAGGTCACCCAGCAGCTGCATGTGGAGGAGCGGGGAATCAAACCTGGTTCCCCAGATTACAAGACTACCGCTCTTAACCACTACACCAAACTGGCTCTCTGGGTTTCCCATCTCTCTCTCTCCCCCCCCCCCCCGCCCCCATTTTCCATTACATTGACAATCTGCTTCCTCTTAAAGCACAAGTAATGTGATGTAGCACTTAGAAGCAAAAATGTCAATGTAAGCATTCTCCAACACAATATTTTAATAAACTCATGGCATTCTGGTTAAAATTAAATTAATTTAATATTTTTAATACAGAACTTTTATCTAGTCACTTCAATGATATTTAAATAAAAAATGTTGCCACATAGGGGAAATGAATGTTATTAAGAGTACAGAGGAGAGAGCAAACAAGTACACAAACAATGATCAGATGGGCTGGGAGGAGAAACCCTCTTTGCTAATATGTGCTGGATGCTGCAACAAATGCCATACCTTTCAATCTTCTTAATCAACTCATATGCATTTACAGTCCCCAAAAAACGAAGCATAGCTTGGGTTCCCATCTCAGATTACTTTCCATTTCAATATTTATCTGTGGCATATAACATGAGCCTATAATTTTATCACTCTGCTTCAGCTAGTTTTATCAGGAATATTTGTGCGGGGTTTTTTTTTAATCAAAAGCTTCTTGTGACAATGCAGTTATATACTGTTAGCACTTCCTCTGCTTGGCCAGTGATTATTGGCAAGGTTGAAGGCTTTGTCTGCCAAATTTGTATCCCTGTTGATGGACCAGCAAGCTTGAGCCTGCCGGGAACTGTCATCCTTAACAGAGGGTTTTGTTTTTTTCTCATCAGACAATGGTCTCTACGTATGAGGCAGTGTCTCTGTGTTCTGGGTCAATGGATTTTGCACGCTGACAAATCCAGAATGTCTTTTTTCATTCTTTATATTGCTGGTCTTCTCTGAGGTATGTTAGAAGGCTTACCTTTTGCTAACAATCTCTGCATTTCCTCAGCTTTAAAATGTGGAAGTGCTTGTGTCTGATCAGCAGCCAGCTCTGCTGTGTGTTCCTCACAATTCTGGGAAAATGTTTAGAAATACAGTCATACCTCGGGTTGAATGTGCTTCAGGTTAAGCGCGTTCGGGTTGTGCTCCGCGGCAACCCGGAAGTAACGGAGCACATTACTTCTGGTTTTTGCCGCTTGCGCATGCGCAGACGCTCAAAATGACGTCACGCACATGCGTGGAAGCGCCAAAATGCGCTGTCGTTTCTTGCATTCCATTCGGGATGTGAACAAGGCTCCGGAACGGATCCCGTTCACATCCTGAGGTACCACTGTAATGATTTGTTTTGGTCTTTGCTGGCTTGACATATTTTGCAAATGTATCCATTTTACAGTGGTACCTCTGGTTACATACTTAATTTGTTCTGAAGGTCCGTCCTTAACCTGAAACTGTTCTTAACCTGAAGCACCACTTTAGCTAATGGGGCCTCCTGCTGCTGCCGCACAATTTCTGTTCTCACCCTGAAGCAAAGTTCTTAACCCAAGGTACTACTTCTGGGTTAGCAGAGTCTGTAATCTGAAGCGTATATAACCTGAAGCATATGTAACCCGAGGTACCACCGTATTTCAAAGATCCTAATACCTTTCAAATGTATTGTTGCGTGCCACCCAAATCTCTGAGTGGTTGTGAGATTCCAGGGGTTCCAGGCGTGCTTTACCCAGGATTCATGGTTCCTTTTGGAAATGAGGCCCAGCGGAGACGGTGGTATCTTTATGATCTATGGTTTATTTTGTCTTTATGATCTATGGTTTATTTACACAGATATATACAAACTGAGCCTGCGATAGTGGGGTTCACAGCATTAACTCCCCCAAAAGGGTCTCGTTTCTTCCATAGCCATAGCCTTGCATTCAAACAGAAATCAACCATTGCTCTGCCTCTCTGCTTTCCAGCTTTTCCTCTCAGTGACATCACACTCCTTTACTCTAAATAACAATGTAAACAGTACATAAAATTCAAAACCACATGGCATGTGATATGGCTAAACTTCTAAGTAAGATGTATGGAGTCCATGTTGTCTGAAAATCATACTTGGGGCCTCTTCCATGGGAGCTATTTCCATGTTCATACAGGTAGAGAGAATAACTGATTTCTTTTAGAAAGAGAGGAATCAATGCACTCTGCATAACTGCACACTTTCCTAAATAAGAGGCTGTACAAGCACCTACTGCAACGGCAACTTCCAAACAAACTGCAGCCATACCATGTAAAAAATATTACCAGCCACCACTGTCTGGCACTTGTTGCTGACTTTCACAAGCCAGGGTTGTTATGCCTGTGCAGCTGTGCCACACACAGTGCTATTTTCCTAGAAAAAGAGATGCCAGAAATATAAATGTATATGTAGGTGCCAAAATCCCAAGGGAGCAGAAATTATTATTTATGTATTATTTAGACTGGTGACTGGGTGCGGCCGCCGAGACCATATAACACCGGTCTTGAAAGACCTACATCGGCTCCCAGTAAGTTTCCGAGCACAATTCAAAGTGTTGGTGCTGACCTTTAAAGCCCTAAACGGCCTTGGTCCAGTATATCTGAAGGAGCGTCTCCACCCCCATCGTTCTGCCCGGACACTGAGGTCCAGCTCCGAGGGCCTTCTGGCGGTTCCCTCACTGCGAGAGGTCAAGTTACAGGGAACCAGGCAGAGGGCCTTCTCGGTAGTGGCACCCGTCCTGTGGAACGCCCTCCCATCAGATGTCAAAGCGATAAACAACTACCTGACATTCAGAAGACATCTGAAGGCAGCCCTGTTCAGGGAAGTTTTTAATATGTGACATTTTAGTGTATTTTTTATCTTTGTTGGAAGCCGCCCAGAGTGGCTGGGGAAACCCAGCCAGATGGGCGGGGTACAAATAATAAATTATTATTATTATTATTATTATTATTTATGCAACCAGTTGCACAGATGTTATTGGCCCAGAGATTGAAAACGGACGAAGTCCCAACCAGAGAAGAATGGCAGATTAAATTGATGGATTACGCCAAAATGGCAAAAATGACCGGAAGAATCATAAATCAGGAAGACCAAAATTTTAATAAGGGAATAGAGAAAAGTTATCATTTACCTTAAAAACCACTGTAAACCGTTAAAATCGTTAGAAGGATCTGAATAACACTTGTAGTTTAATGGTGAATTTTGGAGATAATGGAAATGTAAAAGATTTGGATTATTATAAAAGATGCAGGAGGAAATGATTAATACAAGGACCCACAAAGGGGAGGAGGGAAGTCCACGTTTGTGATTGTAAAACTTTAATCAAAAACCTAAATAAATAAATGTAATATAAATGTATATGCACCTGCGAGTACTGATCTAAATTAAACAACGTGCTCGTAAGTATCCTCAGGTGAAAGCAATTCAAACGTTATCCACCCAAAAGCCTGCAGCAGCGCAAGCGACCCGCTTTTTCACGCCGCCTCTCCTTCTGCCCCCGCCCAACTACAGCGAGCTCCCGCCCTCCCCTCCTCGCACGCCACTGGCCGAAGGCGGCTGAGTGGCAGCGCAGGCCGAGCCAGCCAGCGCTTGCCTCTTGCTGGTCACGTGAGCTCTTTGCTCTCGTGAGCCTGCTCGGCTCCTCCTCCTCTTCCCCCCCCCTCCGATCGGACCGTGGTCCCCTTGGCTTGGGGCTTCTCCTGCCCTCCTTCGCCGCTCGTCGGGCGGTAAGTAGGTTCTTTGGGTTGGGGGGGAGGCAGAAGGAGCCTCCGTTCGTTCCTTCCGCTCTCTCTCTCTCTCTCTCTCTTCCCTCCCCCCTGAACTCTGCTTCCGCGGAGGGTTCTCCTCGCTTCAAGCGCGGCGGGCTGGGGAGCCGCAGTTGGCTTAGGGAGAAGGCGCAGAGCCCGGCCTCGCGCCGCGGCGGAGGCTCCCTTTGTGTGTGTGCGCGCGCGCGCAAGGGGAGCAAGAGAGGAAGAGCCTCCTCGTGAGTAAGCAAGCAAGCGGCCGGCAGATTCTAAGCCCCCCCCCTCCAGCCCCCCTCCCACGGGTGGGACTCCAGCCTGGCTGCGCGGCCTGCGCTAGTACCAAACAGGAGTACGTTATGTGGGGCTGCTGCAACGTACAAAATGCTTTTGGGGGGGGAATGCATTGGCCGGAGCTTTTTTCTGCAGCAAATGGGGTGCAAAGCATGCTCCAGGCCCGTGCTTGGAAGTTTAGGTGGGGACTCTCGCGACTGAATGGATTTCCTCCAGACAAACACATACCCCACGTTTTTCTACATGCAATGGGTTTTTTTTGCTTGTGTGTTGAGGCCTGTGAGCCCCCAAGGTGCACCCCTAGGACAGAGGCATCTTGTTCAGGAAGGCTGGATGTTGGCTGGGGAAATTGCCGCTGCCGCGTCCCTTTCCCCCTTGGGTCCTGCATTTGGTTTGTTGTGGTAATGCGATAGGAGGAGCAGCCAATATGGTGTCCTCCAGATGTTGGGACTCCAACTCCCAGCAGTCCCAGCCAGCGTGGCCAGTGTTCAGAGATGGTGGGAGGTGTGTACTCCAGCAACGCCTGGAGGGCATATTGCTCATACGCAGTGTATACTTGGGATTGGCAGCAACCATGGCGCCCATATCAGTTTTCTTAACTAGGGAAACATGGTGAGCGATACAGGTGAGTGCTGCTCCTAGGTGCACTTTGTGTGCATCTTGTCTAGGCATGCAAACTGCAGTCCCACTTCTGGAGAGATGAAGGTGACAGACTGCAGATATTGGAAAGTGGCTTCCTTCTGATGAGGAAGGGAGCACAATGCTTTGCTGTGTTCCCTTGCCTAGCAGAACAGGTAGCTGCTGTTCCTACGTGTGTTTTCATATGTAACAAGGTAGGTAACAGGGAAGCACCTAGCTTTCCTTTGCTGAGTATTACAGATTTGGAGGGGGGACTGAAAATGTTCCAGAGCAAGCTAGCTGTTTTGACTTGCTATGGTTTATCAGAAGTCCCAAAGACAATATTTGGCAGTTTCTGTAGCAGAACCGGAACTCACTTTGTTATTGACATCCTTTTTCTTTGTTTAGTGCTTGCTTTTTGCCAGCTGCCTATTGTCTGTGTCTGTACTTGTTGAGTATTCTTCTGGGATTTTATGAGGTCTTATCAACATGTTGCCACAGCACACTAGTTCCGTTTGTCATCATTACTCCCCTTTTATTTTTAATTTTTTTTAAGTTGCAGTTGGTCCTTGTTGGTAATATAAAAGGAGCAATTCGTTACTGTTACCTGTGTTGTTTTAATATATAATATAACTGTTTTGAAGCAACGAGCGATTGGTATTTATTCCAACACAGCTCTTAATATGCATTTCTTTGGTTTTGACACAGGAATTAAAACACATAAGGAGAACAGAAGTGACTTTTAAACTGGTTCTTTCACATTGCACTGCACTAGTTCTGTTACATAGTGCTTAGTTATTAATGGCAAGTGTTCTTCTGAACCACCAATGTATTGAAGCTTTCCTCCTAATAGATGTAACTGTCCTAATAAGGGACATCAATCTTTGGGTTGGTTTCAGACTTACAGCACAGTCTTGATCATGACTACAGTGGTACCTCTGGTTGCGAACGGGATCCGTTCCGGAGGCCCGTTTGCAACATGAAAAGAACACAGCCCGCGTCTGCGCATGTCTGGGTTGCGATTCGCCGCTCCTGCGCATGCACGTGACGTCATTTTGTGCGTCTGCGCATGCACGGGCAGTGAAACACTGAAGTAACCTGGACGTAACATGAGGTATGACTGTACTCAGAACTAAGATATGCTGAATTTAGTGGACTCACTCCCACCTAAGTGGGGTTAGGACTGCAGTCTTCTTCGTGCTTAGAGAAATCATGACTTAACTTGATTTCAGTGGGTCTGCTGTAAGCATGACTGAAGTAGATACAACCCTTTTGGCTTGTATGTAGTGTGAAAATGGGAAATATTAAAAAACCAGTTACTGAATCTACTTTATAGTGTGTGATATAAATGGAATAGCCTTTATAAGTTCCTGGTTAGCCTATATCTCTTTGTCTTAGTCTCTCTGGTAAGATGGCAAAAACTAATGGACTGTAATTATTTCTAACAGGCCTAAGAAGAAACTTCACTGGGTTAAAGAAAAAACCCAGTTGCTGCTGTACAGCAGCAGCTACCCAGCTGCTGTTGTGCCTGAGAATCTTCAGTTCAGTTCCAAAACTTGCTTGAACACTTGTCAAATGACGTCAATGGCCAGCCTGTTCTCTTTTACTAGCCCAGCTGTAAAGCGTCTTTTGGGCTGGAAACAAGGCGATGAAGAGGAAAAATGGGCAGAAAAAGCAGTTGATGCTCTGGTTAAAAAACTGAAAAAGAAAAAAGGAGCCATGGAGGAGCTGGAGAAAGCACTGAGCAGTCCTGGACAACCCAGTAAATGCGTTACTATTCCTCGTTCGTTAGATGGGCGACTTCAAGTTTCTCACCGCAAGGGCCTTCCTCATGTTATTTACTGTCGTGTTTGGCGTTGGCCTGACCTGCAGAGTCATCACGAGCTGAAGCCGTTGGACGTTTGTGAATTTCCTTTTGGATCTAAGCAGAAGGAAGTCTGCATCAATCCATATCATTACAAAAGGGTAGAGAGCCCAGGTGCGTTTGAATGTTATGGCATTGCTTTCATCACAAAGTATTCAAACTGTAATGTGATTTACAGTGCATGGCTACTTGGAAGATAGTGCCATTGTGTTGAGTGAGACTTGACTCCCAGGAAAGCACGTATAGGTTTGCTGTCAGGTGAATATGAGGAAGATTGGTGTATCTGAACTTTCTTTTACAAAGTGAAATTATTATTTATTAAATTTGTATACCCCTCTTCATCTGAAGATCTCAGGGTGGTTCACAGCATAAAAATACAAGTTCAAAATACACAGTAAAACCAAGAACAAACCAAACAAATACCCCCTCCCCAAAAACCCAGCATTTAAAAGGATAAAGGATGTTGAAGCGGAATGTTTTAGTCTGGCACCTAATGGTGTATAATGAGGGCGCCAGGTGAGCCACCCTGGGGACGAGCGTTCCACAAATAGGGAACCACTGCAGAAAAGGCCTGTTCTTGTGTTTCCACCTTCTGGACCTCTTGTGGAGGAGGCACACAAAGAAGGGCATCATGATGATTGCAGGGTCCTGGTAGGCCCACATGGGGAGAGGCGGTCCTTGAGGTTTCTTTTGTCTTGGGGAACATTGATCCTATATGTCTACCTTGCATTGTCCATCTGTTAAACTCTATGCTTTTTGAAATGTGATTTCTGATACTAAACACAGAAGCAAGCTTTTTTGGTCTGACCCTATCCACCACTGGCATGTGGTCCCCCAAAGGTTGCTCAGAATGCAATGTACCCCATGGCCTGGAAATGTTTCCCCACCCCTGACGTTCACCATTTGTTAGTGAGAGGCACCTCTTACCTTGTTGGGTTGCTATGGGACATGCAACCAGATTTTTCCAGTGTTTTGACAGTGTGTGCTTACGGCATGTTCTTCTGTCTGTGTCTTCAGCACTTAGCACTTCTACTGCTATAGGCAAACGGATGTCTTCAGGGCTGTTAACTAAAAACACTAATCTTAGGTTTATATTGTTTTCTTCCTTTTCAGTTCTGCCTCCAGTATTGGTGCCAAGGCATAGTGAATTCAACCCACAGCATAGCCTTCTGGTTCAGTTCAGGAACCTGAGTCACAATGAACCGCACATGCCACACAATGCTACTTTTCCAGATTCGTTCCAGCAGCCTAACAGCACTCCATTTCCCATTTCTCCAAGTAGTCCGTATCCACCTTCTCCAGGCGGCAGTACTTACCCAAATTCGCCAGCCAGTTCTGGACCTTCTAGTCCATTTCAGCTACCAGGTAAAAGCCTATCTCTGTGACGCTAATTGAAAAGTAAAACTTGTAGTATGAAGCCAGAGGGAGTTAGAATTACATTTCAGAGTTCCTGCTATGCATTTTGTCATATTTATTATGGACACATCATTTGAAGCTTTGGAATTACCGTAGATTCCGGCGTATTAGGCGACTGGGCATATTAGATGACCCCCCAAATTGGCAGCTGCAATTTGGGGATTTGTCTTATAAGCCAAGTCACCTAATACACTGGGCAGCAACAGGGGGCAGGCTCAGCTCTGCGCCGGACGGCTTTCTCCCAACATGGAGCTGAGCCCGCTGCTGCTGCTTCGGAACCACCGCAGCAGCAGTGGGGGGCGGGCTCTGCTCCGCGCCGCCCATACCCGGCGTATAAGGCAACCCCTGACTTTGAATAAGATTCTCCGGGGTTCAAAAGTCGCCTTATACGCTGGAATCTATGGTAATCTTGTGAAGGAATTAAAGAAAATTAAAGAGAACAAATAATTCAGCTATTTGAGAATTTTGCTGTTTTATGTATTTCTGCATACACTTCTGATTTGAATGGGTAGTGGGACAGAAGACACAAGACTAAGAGTTTGGAGAAAGCATAAACCATTCTACTGTTATTTATTTAGTGTGACCCATATGCATGGTGCTACACAAACAATGAGAGGAAAGATCTCTGTCCCGGCTTAATGTAGACAGGGACACTAGGGAGACAATTGAGGGAAAAGAGGGGAATGGAAGTGAGGCATGCAGGAGAAGATTGTATGGTTATTGCAGTTGCATGTACTTTTATTTTAGTTATGGAGAACATAGGAACTAGGAGGTTGTGCCCAAAGTCTTCAAGGAAAAGGTGGGGTTTCTGAGAGTGTGTTGTGTTTTGAATATAGTAAAATAGGTGAATGTAGTAAAATAGGGAGAGAAAGTTGTGTTGCTTCCTAGGTTGGCCAAGCATGGTGAAGCTGAATGAGTGGGTATCATATGTTTGTTGGGATATAAAAGCAAAAAGATCAGGTTGTGCAAGGCTTTGGTGGGGTTTGAAAATAAGGGTGAGAAATTTATGCTGGCTCTAGGAATAAACAGGAAGGGAGTGTAGAAATTCAAGGAAGGGCATCACATGGTCAGAGTGGTGAGAGAGGTGAATGTTTTTGATAACAGTTCTGGATAAAGGTGAGAGGACAAAGTCGAGGCAATAGAAAGTCAGGAAGTAGTAGATTTCCATAGTCTAGGCAAAACTAGAGCCTGGACCCACTCTGCACATTAGTTGAGGATTCCCATGAATGGTTCCTCCACAAACGCATGGGTGCCTTTGAAATTAGTTAGTGTTAGTATTGAAGACCAGTGGATATGAACTGCTAAAACTGGTGTGGGCAACCTTTCAGCCTCCAGGTGTCAGTGAACTACAAGTCCCATCATCCCTGGCCATTGTCCATGTTGTGGGGGATTGATGGGAATTGTAATTCAGTAACATCTGAAGGGTGAAAGGTTCCCCACACCTGTGCTGCAACTTGATGATCGCTTCGGTCTGCCATGTTATTGTATTGGCCCGGGGTTTATAAAAAAAAAGGTTGGTTTGTTGTACAGTGGTACCTCGGGTTACAGACGCTTCAGGCTGCAGACTCCGCTAACCCAGAAATAGTGCTTCAGGTTAAGAACTTTGCTTCATGATAAGAACAGAAATCGTGCTCCGGCGGCGCAGCGGCAGCAGGAGGCCCCATTAGCTAAAGTGGTGCTTCAGGTTAAGAACAGTTTCAGGTTAAGAACGGACCTCCGGAACGAATTAAGTACTTAACCCGAGGTACCACTGTATATGCACTGTAATGTATGTCTCTTGGAAGCACCCAAAAAACATTTCAGATAATAAGATAAAGACCAAGGTATGGACCAGAATTTTTGCTGAGGTGACAGAGAAGGACGACTTTTATTTGTTTGTTTGTTTGTTTGTTTGTTTTCTGTAACGTTACAAAGGGAGCACTAACATTACACAGCAGTGATACACTAAATTGCGGATTATGTGGTAAAGCAAGAGAAGTCAAAGAGAAAGCCAAGGCTATGTGCCTACTCAGCAGGGTAGGTGGCGATAATGTCACTGGACATGGAAAGTGAGGTGATAAAAGAAGGGCTTGAGAGGAAAGACAAGAAGCTTGGCCTCCACATATTGAACTTGAGATGTTGACAAAACATCCAAACCAAAATATGAAAAGTACTTGGAGATGGGAGATTGGATGAAGGGAGGAAATTCAGGGGAAAGATGAAGAACGCTATCAGAAGCCTATAGATGGTACTGAAACTCATGGAATGGGATACACCTGGTGAGAGGGTGTTGCGGGGGGGACAGCAAGAGAGCTAAAAACAGATCCACGAGGAAGTGTCTCCCCATATGTAGAGATCAAAAGAATGATTATACAGGTGAAGAGCTAAGTGGGGACTTAGGGCAAGAGTCATCAGCTATATATCACATGCTGCACAGATGACTAAGACTACAGAGATAATTGAATTGGTAGGCTATTTTTTTGGTAAGGGAAGTTTTAGGAAAGTGCTGGGAGGAAAAGCCAAGTTTGAGAGCAGAATTGGAGATAAATTTTTGTTTGTTTTAGAATAGGAGAAACAGGGAAGTTACCACAATTGGGAGTTATAGCAGTGATGGAGATACAACAATCTGGGAACACTTCAGACTGCGAAATGGGGATTGGAAGCTTAAATGATTCTCCACATTAAACTCCAAGCACACACACACACACACATGAAGCATATAGGGAGGGGAAGACCAGGTGGCTTTACAGTGCAATCCTAACCAGAAAAGAGAAGGGCAGGGAACTAGGGAGTGGTAAATCACTGCAATGGCAAAATTGGAAGCAACATCTTATAGGTTGTTCTAAATATACTGAATTTTGTTTGATCCCATTGATGTTGGTGACACTGCTTCCAAGCATTTTTCGTTAATAGTCTCAGTGTGAGAACCTGACCAAGACTGCCCTCCTGATGATGATCACTAGAGCAGGAAGAATGAGACGGGCAAGACTTATTGGTTAGGTTGTGGCCCAGAGGGCTGTAGAGTGGGGAAAGTACATGTGCACATAGGGGAAAGAAACACAGACAATCTGGTCAACCAACTATTTAGAAAGCAGTTTATTTATAGAGAAAGATTTTAAAGGAAGTAGAAAAATTGAAGGTGGAGAGTGAGGAGGTAGTAAGGAAGGATGACCCTGAAGTGGGAGGAACAATTGATTTTGTAGGGGTAACAGGAGCTGTGATTAGGCTGGATTAAATGTTCTCACTTTGCTCAAATTCCTTATTTTTCTTTATAGCAGATACACCACCACCAGCATATATGCCTCCTGAAGATCAAATGGGGCAAGATAATTCACAGTCTATGGACACAAGCAATAATATGATCTCTCAGATAATGCCAAATATTTCCAGTAGAGGTGAGGTGAACAATGCATTTTGTAGACTTGTCAATATTTGCAGTTGAAATTCTATAGAGAAGAGAATAGCCTACCAAGCAAAAGTGCCTTTTCCCCCAGCTGCCACTTATCCCTGCCCCTTAAAAGCACATTGGCACTGAAGGCTTTGGATGGGCAGCATCCAATTTTGCTTTTCAGCCATGGGTAATTGTGTTATGGGTTGAGGATGTTAGTGTTTGAGGGTTGGATACGTAGTGAGTTTGCAGGGATGTGGACAGAGCAGCACCAGAGGGACCTTTATAGGGGGAGCAAAAAATATTTGTAGCCTGCCCTTCCTCCCAAAGGAGCCCAGGGTTGGACCAAGTTATCAGCATTTCAGAATAAACTGCTGCATGTATTGAATATTTCAGTATTCAGTGAACAACCAGTCAGCCAAACTAATAACTTTTAATTGTGTATATATAAAGACTGTCTTTGTTTCTAAGTGTGGGCGCTTTAAATGGCCACGTTCTTGAAACTCCATTTTTTATGGACTTGAGCTGTGGCCTAAAGAAATGAGTAATTCAGCATGATTAAAACAAATTATTTTTCATGGTCCCAAGTTGGTGTAATGTACTGCTTGTGAACATGAACTATGCCATGCCACTGCCACCAGAGACTTGGTTCCCCATCTAGCTTACTTTGCAGAGCTGTTGAAATATTTTGGAGGGGGTATCCATGAAACTCTTTGAGCTCCTAGGAATAAAGGCATTAATAACTATTACTGTATGGGAGAGACTATTGCTTTAGGTGTTGGAAATACTGAAATCCGTATGTTTTGCTTTTGTTCATAGATGTTCACCCTGTGGCCTATGAAGAGCCCAAGCACTGGTGTTCAATTGTGTATTATGAATTAAACAATCGAGTTGGGGAGGCATTTCTTGCATCTTCCACTAGTATTTTAGTAGACGGTTTTACAGATCCTTCTAATAACAAGAACAGGTTCTGCTTAGGTTTGCTCTCCAATGTCAATCGCAACTCAACAATTGAGAACACCAGGAGACACATTGGAAAAGGTAATATGGAAATGTGCTTTGTATGATCATAAGAAACCTTCCTTCACCTAACTTTGTCGTGTTCATTAATCTCAGTGGGTCTACTATGAGTAAAAAGTAGCTGAATACCACTTAATGTTTCTAAAAGAAGCATTTTCAGTGAACAAATCTCCACACCCACGTATAGTGTGATTCTACAGATTGCACACCAAAGACAAATCTTGCAGCCTTCTGATCAGATGCTTTGATCTAACCTGCCAAATGGCTCATGATTCTGAATAACAGTTTCCTAGTAATAGAATACCAGCAATATTTAGGTAATCTCGGTTAAAAACATTATTTGTTGGAGAATCTTATTCTTTGATTCATGGAAGGAGGACATCTAGTGGCTGATATTCAGTGGCAGAAATGCAAGTATACTCTGATGTGTTAGAATAACTGGAAACCATTCCTACTGGAGCCTTTTAAAAAAAGGAACTCGGCTAGACTTTCTGACATCTGTAACATTTCTGCAAATAACCCTGTTAAATGTTTGGGTTTCTCTCACTCCCCTGACTCCAGGTGTTCATCTCTACTATGTTGGTGGTGAAGTCTATGCCGAATGCCTGAGTGACAGCAGCATATTTGTACAGAGTCGGAATTGCAACTACCATCATGGATTTCACCCTACAACTGTCTGCAAAATTCCTAGCGGCTGCAGCCTGAAGATTTTTAACAACCAGGAATTCGCTCAGCTTCTAGCTCAGTCGGTCAATCATGGATTTGAGGCAGTATACGAGCTCACCAAAATGTGCACAATTCGGATGAGTTTTGTGAAGGTAAGGGGTGTGAACCAGCCATAACTTGTGCGTTTGAGTGATTTTTGAAGTATATTCCCCAGGACAATAACTTTAATGGGAAATCATCTGTGGCTTTGAGGGCTTCTTCCCCACATGTAATCTAGAAAAGTCACAGAAGTAACCCATCGTCCCTCAGAATGGGGAATGACGCAGAGGGAGTGACCCTGTTTCTGGGTACTGCTTCTGGTTGCATGCAAATAGAGTGCGCATAAATGGGGAGATGCCTGTATTTCAAACAAGCACGTCCTCCTTATCGGTGTAACAGGCTCTGAAGCAGGTGTCAATTGGACAGATGCATTCTCTCAATCGTCATTTGCAGGCCTTTCCAATAGGATGAGGCTTCGTTTGAATAAACCGTCATTCTTCTCCATCTGCAAAACCTAGTAGACAACGTATACCGGGAATCCTACTGAACAGTAGGATTTTTTCTGTGGGAGGAATAGAAGCATATGGTATCCTGCGATCCCTCCATAAACCTATATAGTGGTGCCTCGGGTTAAGAACTTAATTCGTTCTGGAGGTCCGTTCTTAACCTGAAACCATTCTTAACCTGAGGCACCACTTTAGCTAATGGGGCCTCCCGCTGACGTGGGAACACGATTTCTGTTCTCATCCTGAAGCAAAGTTCTTAACCCGAGGTACTATTTCTGGGTTGGCGGAGTCTGTAACCTGAAGCGTCTGTAACCCGAGGTACCACTGTATTCCCTTTTCTCTGACGTGTCACACTTTGTTTGAGGGTGTGTGTGTGTGTGTTACTCATTTTTTAATTTCTAATGAATTTACTAGACTAATCAACACTGGCTGTTTTAAGAGTGATTCTTGGATATACACTAAATGTCTGCCCATTTTTTGTAGGGATGGGGAGCAGAATATCATCGGCAAGATGTCACAAGCACTCCATGCTGGATAGAAATCCATCTTCATGGGCCTCTGCAGTGGCTGGATAAAGTACTCACCCAGATGGGATCCCCTCTTAATCCCATCTCTTCTGTTTCATAGTGCCAAAGAAGTTTTTTCAACCATAACTTTAGTGACCATTTTCTAATTCTACAGACACTTCCAGTGTGGATACTGTAAGAACATACTACACATTAGCTTTCTTCTAGCAATGACCAATTCCATTGTTTTTTATCGCTCTTCGTTTGATTTTTTGATATTAAGGAAACAGCCAAGTTGGGAAGAAAACTGAGAATTCAGGATTTTATTTTTCCTTGATACACATATTTAATAATCATCAACTCCACTGAAAATATTTTTATGTGTCTTCTAGGAACACATTTTGAACTGGTTCTTTTTTTCGGAGGGGGGAGGGAATAACATTTATCTTTTTCCTAAATTTGTTTATTTCCAGTTTACAAGTTTTTAATGTTGTATAATGGATAATGTCCGTAAACAAAGCTAGCTTTATTACACCCAAGATTGCCTTTAGCTTGAGTAAATAATGTGACTTAAGTATATACATGTTAAAAACACGTTACAGATAGTGGTATTAGAATGCATTACTGCAAGTTCTGTGGTAAATAGTGGTTTTATCTATACCCCAGTTCAATTTAATACTGCCTTTACAGTGCAATTGTATGCATGTATACTCAATGGAACATTGAGCTACTGGAACTTACTCCCAGACAAGTGTAAATAGGATGCTGTCTTTAGTCAATTGTTCTTAAACATTTGATTCAAGACACTCTGTTTTGCTTAGACTAGTCAGTATTTTCCCTTGACTTACATTCATGCTGTGGGCTAGGCCTTGACAAAGTGTAGCTTTTTAGGAAATCCATGCCTTTTATAGTGCAAAACAGTGCCATTTTGTAAATAACATTACGAGGCATTGCTCACCTTTCCATTTTATTTTGCCTCTCTGTAGCTGGTATCCTGGAGGCTTCCTAATGTCACACTTGGTTTTAATAATCACACACACACACACACACACACACACACAGTATTAATGAATGTCCTTCCTAATGTTACTGCTGGTTTTAATAATTCCCCTCCTCCAGTATTAATTACAACCGTGGTGTACTTTACATTTATAACCAGAATATCAGGACTCTCACTTTGCTAAGTGATGCCTTTTAAATTACTGAGGCAGACTAGGCCTTCGATAACAAAAAGATCATTGCCATTTGGTGGCTGGAGCCTAATAGAAGAAGTCAAGGATCTTAAGCCCTCATATAACACAGCAGCTCTTCAGCATCATCTGTCAAATGAATTGTCAGTTTTATGGCCTTTTGTTAATAAACCTACTAAAGGGCTCTAACTGATGCAGAGATGAATGGTAGGATTTTGGTGAATATGGATATGAATGTGGAAGTCCTCCTGTCTTAAGAGGCTACTGGTGGTGTCCATTCAGGCATATTTCTTTATCAGTACAAGTGGGGGGGGATGTATGCCTAAGTATCCAGCAATTACCAGTGCAGTTAAATCTGATAAAGTTTCTGGAAGTTCTCCCTTCCCTCAGCAACCCAAGAAGGCCTGTATTCTTTTGCCATGTATTTTCGTTTGCTTTAGGATGCTAAAGCCAACGCTAAGTACCATACTAAATGCATTGGCTTCTGAAGATGTGGTCCACCAAAAATAGTTCTCAGTGAGCCTTTCCCCAGTGACAGTAGTTAAAGCTACGCTTTCTCTATGGGACCACCTGTTTCTAGTCCTATGTGGATTCTACCCAGACTACAGGTGGTGGTGGTTGCCTTCATTTTAAAGCTTAGCATTCTGAGGATGCTGAAGCCTTTACCCAGAATTGGTGGTGGCAGAACGCAATTTCTAGTCCCTATGGCTCTGAAGATAGCCTTCTAGCTTACAGATTTCTAGCTGTGTAGGATTTCCAGTGATGGTCGAGGCTTTGATGCCCTGTGTAGCAACTTGGCTTCCCACTGAAACAGAATAAAAGGATGCAAATCCGAAGTCTGGCTTTACTGGGATGGGATATGTTTTTCCCTAGCCAGCTTTGATCAATAGCTGTTCCCTGCCCTCTTACCAAGATGTGATGTCTGGCTGTGCCTTCAGCTATAGCTGGTGGAGGGGATTTCTCAGGGGAATGAAATCTAGAGAGAGTAAATGGAGCAGGAATGGCCAGGAGGGTAGGCTGTGGTCTGCTTGTTGATACTGGGATTCTTGCAGAAAATGTCGATTGGCTGTGATCTAATCCAGCAAAGCACTTCTTATGTTAAGTGAGTGTATACCTGAGATCACTGAACACAGGTGAAACAGTTGAGACATCAGAGTATGTATTTGTGCTTTATTAATTTTAAAACCAATTAGTGGTGGGGAAAATAGGCCACACAAGACTGAAGTTGACTTCTCCCAAATTTAAAAGATCAGCTACTTTAAAGACTCCTGGAATTGCTTTGCTGATCACACAGAGCTAACTATCTGTAGTCTATGGTTAGATGGTGAGAGGAGTGTTAATCATGTTCCCACAACTCCTTAAATGCTGGTAAGCTCAGTATTGGCCGTAGTCACTGCCATACTTTATTGCAGGAAGTGAACTCTTAATTGTGTATTCTATGGTGACATGTTTGTGAGGAAACTTTCAAAACTCTAGAAGACTATGAAAAGGCTACTTGGTTATTAGCAAATGTGATCGTGTGGAACATCTGGACATAGTCATGTTTGTAAATTTTAATGGATCTACTCCCAAGTCAAACTTAGTTGAATGCCACCCATCAGTGCCACGGAAGTTGTGTTGTGCTTATATGGTAGTCCTGCCAGGGTCTTCAAGAATTTACATATTATAATAAATACTTTGAAATTGCCTTAAAGGGAAAACAAATATGACTTTCACAAAGTTGTACCATTCTTTTGTATACATACTAGTTTCTACTTGATTTTAGAAGCAAAAAACCCCACCCTTTCCCAGTCTTTCTTTTTTTAAAAAAGAGAAGTAGATGGTCTTATTTTGTTGCCTTATATTTTAGTCAACTCCTTGCTTAAAACTACAGCCAATATTTGCCTTTGCTGGGCATGCTGCTAGCTGAGCAAGATCTGCTGGGGTGTTCTCCTGTGCAAACCTCACGGAAATTACCAGGAGCTGCACAGGGGGAATTGCTCCCCAGAAGTTGTAGTGGCTCCAGATGTTCTGTGTTTGCACTTGACCACCTTGCCTATATAACACTAAAGATGATACCATCTTTTAACACATTTCATTGAATTAAAAACAATAAATGATTTGCAAGTTAATTCTGCCGTGTTAAAAGATTTGGCCTTTGTAACTAACTTCCTGAAGATTCCTACTCTTTAAGCCATCTAAAAGCCTTAAGAGTGTTTGCCAGGTACCAGTACTAACCAGACCTTCTGACTTTGCATGCAGTCTGAGCAATATTACTCTGTGTATGCAGTCAAAAAAAATATGTATTGCACTTTTCAAGAGCAAGAATAGTACATAAATTGCTAGTGCATTTTTTTTTGGGGGGGGGGGAGACTATTACCAGCAATGATATGAGTAAACTTGCTCCTGGTTTTCCCTTTATCCTTTGGAGGGAGAAACTTATTAAATGCTGATACATCAGCTTGCCTTTTTGTTGTGATTCTCCATCTCTAAGATTTACTTGTATATTCAGACTGAGTTGCCAATTATTTAGTTCTGTTTCAGTGGATGTGTAGGCATCTGACATAGGTTTCACTACAAGCTGCCATGCTTGCATTGTGGTGTATGTAAGAATGGAAGGAGACTTATTTGTTTCCAGATTTAGCTTGAGTCACGGTGTTCTCATTTTTGTAGAAACTGAGTAGACTATCTCATTCTTGCAGTTTACAACTTTTTATGCCTATCGCTGGCCTCTTTTGGCCATCTCTTTTTTGGGGGAGAGTAAATGGCCATCCAACCACCCATGGAGGATATGTGCTTTGACTTTGTTCTCAATAATACTTCTGGTGGGTATTAAGAGGTACTAGACAAATTAACTTCAGCGTAAATTGCAAGTTTTCATTGGAAAATTGATTTAACTATATTGTGCAAGATTCTTGTTGCATCTGGCTAGATTGCTGACTTGCTGAAGGGACCAAAATGTGCCTCTGGATTAATTTATTTTAAAAAATTCTAAAATGCCCTACTTTCTTTCTACTTCGTCTTCACAATAACTAAAGTTGGTTCTACAGCAAGCATGGATGAATTCAGGTTTGAATCTTCTGGCTGAATTAAGAATTCAAACATCTCACATCCAAAATTTCTGTTCTCTTACGGCATCACACTTTCTACTCCTACAGATAATCTATGTAAAATGCTGTTTCACAAAAGTAACTATGTAACAGCCTTGTAATTTGAATATTTTTAAAAAACCATGCATTTATTTCACAGTATTACTAATGTTTACCTGATAAAAACAGACGGTCTTGTAGTCTGTGCCTGGAAAACATCTAAATATGTCAAACACTTTCTCCCTCAAGCTAATAAAGAGTTATTATTGCCTGAATTGTTGCTAGATAGCAGTATTTTAAAATAAAAACAACCTTTTTGGGCAGCACAATGTTTTGACCTGTCTGTGCCTGCATTGCAAATAATTCCTGAACTCTCTGGAATGGTGAGATGTGGTGGGATAATGGCAGGATCGCTCCCGAGGGCCCTCTTCAGTAAAGTAGAGTTCAGAAGGCACCGTTGTTTTCCAAATTGCTCGGGGCAATGAAATGGGACTTGGTGATGACCAGTGCATCATTAGTGAACTGCCCAATGGAGCTTTTTCACATGGCAATGGGGCTGGTTAGTATCCATCATCCATGGGTATTAGACATCAGCCTGCTGTGTCCATTCCAAACTCAGTGCCCTGTTGGAGCAGACCTTGGAAAAGCTATTGGAGCATTGTCTGTTCTACATTTGTGGGATCAGTTGCAGTTCTTGCAGCCTGAGAACATGGGCAGGATGCTGGCAGGAATTCAGCTAACCAACCATGTGGTCTCTTGACCCTGCCCATACTGCCTAGTGGGAAGCTGCTGATTTGGGTGGGTGCAGGAGTAGTTGTTCCTCCCTAGGAGGGTGTGATGCCCACCACTTTGAAGAAAGGGGTGGTATAGCTGCTGAAGAAGCTCTTCCTGGGCATGTTGGATATCTATCATCCAGTGGTCAGTGTCCCTTTTGGGGGGCAAGGTGGTTGCAGTGGTTGTGGTTGACCAACTGCAGATGTATTTGGATTTAGTGGGCTATCCAGACCCATTTCAGTCACAGCTGGGGGTGTGATACAGAAACAGTCCTGGTTGTCCTGCTCCTTTGCTTCAGAAAGAATTGCGGGGAGTGTACCCTCTTGATTCCTTTTAATTTCTCTGCAGCATTTGGTGATGTTGATCATGGTATCTTCCTGGGACGACTCTGTGTTGGAGGCACTGTATTGCATTGGTTCTTCTACTGCCTGCAGTGCTGTTTCCAAAGAGTAGCATTAAAGGACTACTACTTGGACCCATGGCATTTATGCTGTAGTGCTCCTCTTGTCCCCCAAGTAAGTGGTGTACAGAATTAAAACACAAGCCATAAAGCAATACCAGTGTAAGACTCAAATCAGCAATCTGCAAAGTGTCTCCATTATTCACAGTTTTCTGCTGCATTTGGTGTCCAGCATAAAAGTCCTGGGGGTTGGGCCCGCCTGCTAACAGCACCTCTGGCTGTGGAAGAATAAATGTGTGAGCTTTAGTGAGCTTGTTTTCATCCCCACCAGCACCCATTGGATGCTCTGGGGCATCTCAGTTTTGGCCAACGCTCGCTTGTTTGAAGAAGGGGAGGGGGATAATTTAAGCTGGAATTTCTGACATGTGACAGCAAGTCCCTTTGCACCTCACAGTGAGTGCTAACTCGTCATCACCCAGGAGGCAGTGCCATCAATCGACAGGCGCTTTGTGTGGATTGAATAAGTACAGCAAAACTAGAACGATTCCTACAGGAAGAGCGTTTTGCGTGGGTCTAAAATATTGAATTTCCCCTTTTAATGTGCCAGCTTCAGTAAGCTTTGAGCTGATTTGACAAAATATTTACAGAGCTTCGTATTCATCTTGCTTAAGCCACGGTTGGCATATAAAACATTTTTAAAACGCAGCCCGTCAGTGAAACTGGCCTTGCTAGCAAATCAGTTTAATTGGGTTCTTAAATCATCGAACTTCAAGCTTATCCAAGGCATTTCAACTGTCTGGCAGTGCGTGTTTTTAAATCTGTGAGGGTTTCAAATGCAATATTTATCTGAATTGTGAAGGGGAGGAGGAGAGCAGGTGTTTTATGAAGCACCAGACTCAACATTTTTGCTTAATTGGAATCTTTAGTCTTTGGAATACTCTTTTTATTGAGATAGCTTTTGTTACATATTTCTATCCCATAATAATTATTCAAAATAACGCCCAGCCCTAGAGCAGCTAAAGTGAGTATATAATACCATGCATGTAAATACCTACCTATTCTATTGGTTTGGGGCGGATGAGATATAAAATGATCACTGGAATCTCTGAATAACCCATGCTTCAGTTTCAATGGTCTTATTGAACTGTGAAAGATACATTTTAAATCCAACCCAAAGTTTTAATGCAGAGACACCTGGAATTAAATTCCATTGAAATGAACGTGTTCAGGCTTGACTCACACTTGGACGTTTGATAGTCCACAGCAGTCACTTGCATGCATGAATGGACCATCACATACAGCATGTGCACATTGCCTCATTCTTCCACACTTTTCAATTGATACAGTTCACACGTTCAGTTACCATTGATTAAAAGACTTCTATACTGCCCTTTGTCAATAATACCAGGGTGGTTGCCATTGTGGTACAATGCCAATATAATCAACACATTATAGTATAAGAAAATGCATCACAATCCACCCAGGTACCACCCAGGCTCAATTATTCACTGCCCATAAATGTATGTATTGTACATGTGTAAGTAGTATAAAGTAGCCGAATGTAGCAAACTCCATTGAAATTTTTATTTCATAAAATTTATGCACTGCTTGATTGTAAAACAGACAAAAACCAAAAAAACCTCAAAGTGGTTTAGAAAAAAGATGAAATGATGAAATTGTCCCTAAGGAAAATCAACGATAAATGTTTTTCGCAGGCGCCAAAATGAGTACAGTGAAGGAAGCCTGATATCAATAGGCAGCGAGTTCCAAAGTACAGATGCTGCCATTTTCCTTTTGTGAAGAGAGAGAGGCACTCATATGCAGGTCATATACCGTATTTTTCGCTCTAGAAGACGCACCAGACCACAAGAGGCACCTAGTTTTTGGAGGAGGAAAACAAGGGGGAAAAAATTCTGAATCTCAGAAGCCAGAACAGCAAGAGGGATCGCTGCGCAGTGAAAGCAGCAATCCCTCTTGCTGTTCTGGCTTCTGGGATAGCTGCGCAGCCTGCATTCGCTCCATAAGACGCACACACATTTCCCCTTACTTTTTAGGAGGGAAAAAGTGAGTCCGAGCAAAAAATATGGTATCTGCTGATGGCAGAGCAGGGCTGCACTTTTAGCCCCATCAGCTCTTCATATACTATTCAAGGGTGTCTGCAGAGGAATCCGAAAGCTGGAGCACCTACTCATCAGTTGTGTATATATGGAACTGGTTTTGCATGGTGCTTTGTGTTTTCATAACAGTTTGTTTGTTTTTGTAACTGCAGCCAGCCCTGGGACCTTATGGTAAAGGGGTAGGTAAGAAATTGAATAAAATAACAAATAGATAAGTAACACATGAACAGGCTACAGTGTCACACTGCATTTATAAACCAGCACTTATTTTCATGTACATACATCCAGGAGTGCATCCGCTTTGTTGCTTGGGAAGGTTATTGAGCTTTCTCTGGTTGGCTTGCTTACAAGCTCTGAAATTTTTTTGTTTCAAAAATAGCATGTTTATCTGTGGAAGAAATGTCCTGGCATGTGTTCTTCAGAAACTGTTGGCATGAGTAATCAGCAAGCAGGGCTCTACTTATAGCACTGGGCTCTAATTTTAAGGAAGAAATGAAAATCTCCCAATTCTGTGATGCCAGCAAAGGTGTCTTCTCCATCCATTTGCAAAAATAGAATCCTAAAAATTACTCAGGCTGTTCAATTCCTCTTGGCAATATTATTGAACATTGTGTTAGACTAACATTTATATGTGGTGATGCTTGTCTCTGGAATTGCTGCAGGGTTGAGGCCTGTTGTTATTAGATTCCCCCCTCAACATGAGCTCCCAGGGAAAGTTAAAAGAATTTAAACATAGAATATGTTTCAGAAGCAATCAAGAGGGTAAGGTGGGTGTCTATAGCTATATCCTTGGGATCAGTAGTTACCTCTTCTGCATACAATGAATTTACAGTACAGTGGTACCTTGGCTTTCAAACTTAATCTGTTCCAGGAGTCCGTTCGACTCCTGACACCATTTGAAAACTAAGGTGTGGCTTCCGATTGGCTGCAGGAGCTTCCAAAAAAGTTTGCACGTGCGGGTTTATGGCGTTTGGGAGCCGATTTGTTCGGGAGCCAAGCCGTTCGACAGCCAAGGTACCACTGTACTTCCTGTTGTACGTCTGTCAACATAAAGATATTGGGTGGTTTCTAGAGTTGCCTTTCTGCAGGTGGGAGGGTTCCTTCTGTTCTTACCAGAGATTGCACTCCAGTGGAGGCTCCTGAGGGAGAAAGGGATAGGAAGCGATAATGCCCTACAACCACCACCCTTTCACCACTGTTGGAATGAGCAGAAATGCCGCCCCACTTCAGTGTGGGTGTCCCATGAATGGAGTTGCACTCAGCTGAACTCTGGAATGAGGACCAATAGTTGGAGCACTGAACAGAACTTGAAATGGTAAGAAAGGAGGGCCCTGATTCAGCTTCTGAAGATGACTCAGGACTAGGGCTAAAGTAGTGTATAGGGCCAGCTCATCCATGAGGCGGCCACCTCAAACAGTGGAATCCCGTGGGGTGGTGCTCCTGTGGGTGTCCCTCCACCGCTGCCAGGGTTGTGTGGTGGCAGCTTCCAGAATTATCTCAACTCTCACAAGATCTCATGGAACTCTCGAGATAATACCAGAAGCCACAGCTTCACAACTCTGGTAAGCAAGGCTTCAGTGAGGGAGGTGGCACCTTCCTGTTCTGCTTCAGGTGGCTAAACAGGTCAGGTCACCTCTGCTAGTGTACCTCTCAGTTTACCCACTTCAGAACTGAGAAATAAGAGCAGTGAGTACAAGCCAAGGTAGCAACAAGTGCTCAATTCTCCTTGGCATTGAGGGTAGAGGAACATTTGCCAGCCTAAGGTTGGGTTAAGCTAGGCTGATTTGGACCGGCAAATCCCATCAAACCTTGACCTGCATACGGTTCACACAGGATAACTGTCTCCATTCTACCCTCTCAGCTCCCTCAAATAGGTTTGCTTATTTTGATCATGCATGCCCCATCCTTTCAATGCATTTGCATCACTCACGGTGACTCATAATGATTAAAAACAAAGCAATCCAATAAAAGAAGGAGAACAAAAGTGTAAGAACAGAGATCAGTTTGGTAAACAGCATTCCAAAATGATAGCCTA